TGAACCATCACCAAGCCATCTCCATGTCTACACAGAAGTATCTCCTGTAGAAATGCCAAAGATTAACCAGGATGCCCAAAAGTTCTTGCATTTATATATTTAACATTTTAGAGTTGAAAGAATGTTTGTGGCTGGATGTGGTGGTGAACACCTGTAGTCCCAGCACTTGGGAGGCAGAGGCAGGTGGATCTCTGTGAGTTCAAGGCCAGCCTGGTCTACACAGTGAGTTCCAGGCCAGCTGGGGCTACAGGGAGACCCTGTTTCAAAAAGACCAAAAAAAAAAAAAAGTTTGTGGGAACCAGTGAGATGGCTCAGTGGCGAAAGCACTGCTCTGCAAACCTGATGATGAGTTAGATGCCCAGGTCCCATAGTGGAAGGAGAAAACCACCTCCCGAAAGTTGTTCCAATGTCCACACACATGCCATGGCACAGATGTGCCCACACATACACATATACATAATGAAGTTTTAAAAATTAAAATAATTTTTTTTAATGTGGGACATATCAGGCACACAGAATTACACAACATATTTACAGTTCAAAGAGTTGATAATGGACTGAGTTCAATATTGTATAACTATTAATTCAACAGTGAACCTAAAAATTTAGTGTATCCTTGCTCTGGAGTGTGTTACTGAATATGTTAAAGCTGTAATGAAATGGTTCTTCTAATCATGTGGTTATTAAATAAAAACATTAAAAAATAATAAATAAAAATATTTTTTAAAAAGTTAATAATGGAAATCTCTGACTCAATGAAGAAGCAGAACACTGCCAGCATCTGGAAGCCCTGTGGGAATTCCTCCCATATACCAGTGCTCTCGACATTTATGATTTGTTTCCTTGTTTACAGTTTTCCCACCTATACATGCATTTCTAATATATCTCCCACATATAAATTATGTGAACTGTCTTCTACAAGGCTGCAAAGCCATCCAAGTTGTCACATGAGACTTTAGTGTATTCATTTTGCTGCTGTATTGTGGGCATATATAATTTACTACTGATGGACATTTCAGTTGTACCCAGTTTGATTAAAACCCTGATGCTCCTAGTTTATCTGCAGGACACCTGAGTTGCAGGACATGTTCAGTGCCATTCACTAGATAAAGCAAAAACATCTTCCAAAAAGGCTGCACCAGTTCACCATCAGTAGCAAGCCACATGTTAAGTTTCGTCACATCCTCAACACTTGAGTACCGAAGTCAAACATTCTTTAAATCTATGTAAAATTAGTTTAATTTTTTGAGACAGGGTCTTGCTATGTAGCCCTCAAACTCACAGCACTTCTGCCTTAGCCTCCCAAGTGCTAAGATGGCCAGCATGCACCACTGTCTAGTTCATTGTGATTTTATTTGGAACACATTTTCATTCATTGCTAAGTCTATTTGCTATCCATATAGAAAAAAAAAAGGAATCTTGGACTGAAGATGTAGCCCTGTGGTAGTATGTTTACCTAGCATGAGGCCTCAGTTCAATTCCCAACAGCACAAACAAAATCTTATCAGCCCTTCCTATACAACACATGAAAATTAATTCCAGGTGTATTATGTAGCTCTCAATGTGGGAAGTAGACAATAATGCTTTTGGAAGAGCAGTCTAGAAAGAAATGTCCCATAAACTCAGTCTTAATGACAGCCACTAGCTACATGTGGCTATTGAGCACTTGAAATGTATCTACTGCACCTGAGGAACTGTGAACGTTAGTTTTAATTAACTTTAAAAAATTAAGAGATTTCTGTTCATTAAAATATACCATTGAGAGTAAGAAGACAGGCCATGGAGGAACTACTGCAAAGACAAATGACAATTTATAGAATATGAAGGACCCATACAGGTCATTAGGAAAAAAGCAGATCATCCACAAAGGTAAGGAAGTGGGAGAAACAGACTATTTTTAAGTCTTTTACTGGAGCTGGAGAGATGGCTCAGTGGTTAAGAGCACAGGCTACTCAAGCAGAGGACCTGGGTTCAATTCCCAGCACCCATATGGTGGCCAAAAACCAACTGTAACTCCAGTTTCAGAGGGTCCAACACCCTCTTCTGACCTCCGTGGACACTGCACACACGTGGTGCACTTACATGCAGCCCTAACACTCATACACACTAAAAAAAAAAACAAATCTGAAAGTCACTGCTGGGTGTAGTGGTGCGTGCCTGTAATCCCAGCATCCAGGAGCCTGAGGCATGAGGACTGCTGGATGTTTAAGGCCAGCCAAGATTACAAGGCAAACCCTGTTTCAAAAAAGACCAACACCGGGCTGGTGAGATGGCTCTATGGGTTAAAGGCACCCACCAACAAGTCTGACACCTGAATTCTATCCTTAGGACCCACATGTAGGAGGATGTAATTGACTACTACAAGCTGTCTTCTGACTCTCACATGCTTCTATTAGGGTTTCAAACAGCAGCAGTTCCCTCCTCCTTCCCCAAAGAGTCCTATAGACTTTGGATTTTTGAAGCCTGAAAAAGGGAACTGAGCTGATAAGCACCTTGGCCTTTGAAGTCAAGGGAAACAGATTTTTCTAAGAGGCAGTCTGCCTTTCCTCTGATCTCCAAAGATAAGATAACCAGATCCTGCCTGTTAACCAGAGATTTTTAGAAGCTGTTTTAGTACAGCAGCTTTTCCCTTGTCTTAGGAGGACAAAAAAGTAAACACTTCCTGACCCAGATCCTGGCTGGTTGATGGAATGGAGCCAGGTTTACAAGCCCTGCTTTTCTTGCTTCCCCCCACCTGATTTTTCCCAAAAAACCTTCCCGCCTTCAGCACCCTGAAGCCCCCGTATATAAGCCCCAGGTCACAATCCGTGGGCAAACATTTTCCCTTCCCCTAAGGGACAGTGTCCCGTGAGAAATAAAGCTCTATCCCGCTGAGAGTTTTATGTGTGTCCTGGTGCCTCCTCCTCCATTCACTCGTTCTCCGCCAACATTTTACCTATCAGCTTCTACATACATAAATTAATGAAATTAAAATCCCTAACTTCACCACCCCCCAAATGAGCTAACCTTCTGCTAATAATATTGAAACTCTCACACACTGATGGATGAGATACTTTGTTCATTTTGTTGTACTGGAAACTGAACTCAGAGCATATCAGGCAAGGGCTCTACCACTGAGTTATTTCTCAGCTCAGAAGGAATGAATTTTAATACAATTTTTCTTTCTTTTCTCTCTCTTTTTTTTCAAAAGACAGGGCCTCCCTGTAGCCCCAGCCAGCTAGGCTCTCACAGAGATCCCCTGTCTTTGCCTTCAGGGTGTTGATATTAAAGGCATGCACCACTAAGCTTGGCTAATACAATTATTTTTGAAAACTACTTTGGTATTATCTACTAAGGCTGAATATTTGCATAACTTATAAATCAGCAATTCATTTCCCAGGAATCGCCCCCAGCAAAACATAAATACAAATACATACATCTAGTAGATACAATACAATACAAGTACAAAAACATTCAAAAAGCATTATTCATAACTTCAAACAACAAATCATCCAGCATCCATCAACAAAAGAATGGATAAACATTGAAGAACTGGGGCTGGAGAGATGGCTCAGTGTTTAGCTCTGGCTGCTCTTGCAGAGGACCCAGGTTTGGTTTCCAGCACCCACATGGCAGCTAACAACCATTCATAACTCTAGTTCCAGGGGATGTGACACCCTCTTCTGGCCTCCGTGGGTATTGCACAACATGGTTGTACTTACATACCACCAGGCAAAACACTCAAATGCATAAAAACTTCAAAAATTTAGAAAAATGAATTAAAAATGCTAAAGAACTTTGAAAACAAGCAAAACTAATTTAGTGTTAGAAGTCAGGGAGAGGGAAAGCAGGCTAGGAAGAGGTTGAGGGATCTTCTGTGGAATAAGTAACGTTCCTTTTCAAATACGTATTTTCTGTAAACCTATTAAGTTGTACAGGTGTACTTTCCTCCATGTATGTTATACTATGATAAAAGTTTGTTAAAATAATTCAGGGTTGGAGATGGCTCCGCAGTTAAGAGCACTGGCTGTTCTCGCAGATGACATGGGTTTGGTTCCTAGCACCGACCTGGCAGTCATCAACTATCAGTAACTCCAGTTCTAGGGTATCCCACACCCTCTTCTGGCCTTGGCAGGCACTTTATACATGTGGTGCACTTATATGCATGCCAGCAAAAGACTCATAAAAAAATTTTTGTTAAAGTGTTCTGATAATTCTTGGCATGAAACCATCCTAAGTGGAACCATGTGTCAAATAGGGCTTTTTTGGTTGCAGTGGCAGTTTAATTCAAACCAACTTAAGAGAAAAAGGAAAAATACTGGTTTAAATATCTTAAAAGACAAACAAGCAAACAACCCTCACTAGTGGCAGATTCTAAAACACTCAGGTCTTATGCTCCTCTCCATCGATCCTTTCAGCTTTTGTTTGTGGGTTTTGTCAGCCAGGCAGGCACTCTGTCAGGCTCACCTAAGGCAATCCAGGCTTACCTCATCTACAAAGTCTGAAATGCTAGTAGAAAACATCTCTTTAAGTAAGTTCTAATAATTCCAGAATCTACCTGCCTTGAGTTGTGGCTCTACTACTAAGTCAAGTACTCATCCCTGAAATTACTTTTAAAACTAAGTAAATCATGAATTAAATGCACAAGCCATCACTATCTTTTTTGATTTAAGCCAAGTATTTTGTGGGCTGAAAGGTTAGACAACATGCATGATCTACATTTTAACACAAAGTTCAGAAAATAAACCATTTTCTCTTTTTAAACTGTTTTAATCTGAAAGATATTATTTATTTTTAAAATGGCTCCTGCAACAAGAGAAGCATTATAAACTGGATATGGTGTGATGTGCCTGGAGTTGTAGCACTTGGGAGGCTGAGACAGAAGTGCTTGAGCACAGGAGTTGTAGGCTAGCCTGGGCAACAGAGTACAACCCTATCTCAAAAACAAAAGCAATGCCCCCATCCCCAATCAAGTCCCTAAACAAAAGCAAAACTTAACAAAAAAATTTAAAAACCCAAAGTAACATTATTAGAAGAGTTGTTTGTTTTTAATGGTTATAATGAAGCCAATTCTGCTCACAAAGCATCATAGGAAGATTTAACATATTCTTATGGTTAAATCAAGAAAGTGTTTTTAATAAGGAAATATTTTATAAATCCAACCAAATATCTAAGATGAAAGGACCAACTCCGACTTAAACCTAAATAAAATACACTTTAAAAATACCCTCCAGTCACTGTTAACACCATATTTTATGCTTTCCCAATTCAAGTTCCAGATGTTACAATGCTCTAAGCTTCCATGGATCTGATGGGGCAGCTATTAATCATCTTCTTTCTCAATATATGTCTTTGCATTAATCCGTGCCATCTGCCTGGCCAGGTACCTGTCTCTGGCTGACATCACCGTTTCCTCACTGTTGCGCTTTGCAAATTTGCTCACTGCCTCGGGCGCTCTCTCCTGTTCTTTGCCCTTTTCTTTCCTTTCCTCTGTGAGTCTATGTTTTGTGCCCAGTGATGTCTCAGAACTAGAGGGTTTCTCTTGGTGTCTGTCTTTGTCCTTCTCCATGTTTCTCACTCTGTTGGCTCTTTCCTGGTTAAGAAACTCATTCTTTGCTTTAGACCTTGGGCTGCTTTCTGACCTGTCTCCATTTCTGTCTGCCGTCTGAATATTAACTTGTTTTTCTCTGTCTCTGTATTTACCGCTGCTGTCACAGCATTCCTTCCTTCCTTTTAGATGCTCCCCTTTTGCTCTGCTTTGCTCACCCTTCTCGGCCCCTTTCTCACTGCATCGCTCATGGGTGCTTTGTGGTCTGTCCCTTTCTTGTTCTCTGGAGGAGGACTTCTCTTTTTTCCATTCTCTGTCCTGTCTTTCTTTCTTGACTCTTCCCCTCAGTTTATCCTCTGGTGCATGCCTCTTCCTGTGGTCTTTATGATCAGTCTCTTTGTGTTTATGAGAATCCTTTTCTTTTCGGTGGTCACGATCTGTGTAATAGTTCTCCTTGTCTCTGGATTGCCTGTCCTGGTGCTGACCTTCCTTTTTCTCGTATCCTCTTGATTTGGAACTTCTGTTATGGTGCTTGGCACCATGTCCTCTTTCTTCACTAGATGATCGTGAGTGGTTTTCATTCTTGTGATGCTTGGAGTATTTCTCGGAGGTTCCTGTGACCTCTTCCCTTCTGTAGTTCACTTTATTTCTTCCCCTTTCATCATCTTCACTGCTCTTATCATCGAAATCACTGTCAGCGTCTGGGTTCTCTTCCTCTTCTACACCAGGCTGGAGAATGCGGTTCTGCTGTGGTATTCTGTTCTCTGAATCTACTTCATCAGAGTAACCCCTGGGCTTCTCTTCTTTTATTCCACATCTTTAAAAAAATTATAGACATAAAAATGCTACCTTATTAATTGTGGAAAGCAAATAAAGTATTCATGTAAATTTTCTTAATACTTTACTCAATACAAATTTAATTATATATGCTGTTTATCATCCAAATGTAAAAAGATGTTGATGCCTTCACTAACTAGACCATCAGAATCTTCAGGAGGGGGTCTGTACAATCTCTCTCTCTCATTCTCTCTCTCTCTCTCTCTCTCTCGGCTAGGGCTGTACAAATGGGAAAAGTTAGATTTATTCTAAATCTCTGAAATTCAAATTGCGACTATAATCTCCGAAATTCAAATTGCGACTATTAGCTTTTTCTTTAAAAAAAAAAGGTCCTGAAATATACAAAGATAATTTTTGTACAGAAAATAGTACCAAATCTAATTCTAAATATTACTAATTAAACTAATTAGTAAGGCACTAACAACCTGATATAGTATCTTGGTACCCATCACAACAAAACAGAAAATTGTGAATCTTTCTGAATTATGAATCTTTCTGGCATCAACAACATTAATATTATTACTATCACCTACATTTTTCTAGCTATGTGTGATTAAGTTATTGATAATACTCTCACACATGAATTCTTAGTAATCTCTTACTATTCACGCTAATAGTATAACACTTTGGTTCTCTAGGAAATTGCTCACATGAGTATTTTGACTAAAAGACCCACTCATAGTAACTTGATCAGTAGATTGAGAAGTACAACCATGTAGTTAATTGGTTTCATGGATAGCTTGATACTATTCCAGATGAAACTCACAGAAAGAAAATTTGAATATATTATGATTTCCATTCAAAAGCTCAATCTTCATATACTGTCTTAGGGATGTATACTTTTCAAAACCTTCTAGTTTGGGTTTTCCCTTCTGCATGGTTAAGTCTATTCTCCCATTTCTCACTTCTCCTACCCTTTTTCTTTTCAAAACAGTTGCTTAGATACTTGTTTGGGACAAATTCTCCCTGTGTTATTTTTCCCCCTGTGCTGGAGGATCAAATGTAGTTTTTAAACATGCTAGTAAAGTGCTATAAAACTAAGTCATATCTCTTCAACAAATTCTCCTTTCTACATTGTCACACACATATGGCATAATTATTTTACTATTCCTATAATACCTTACAATTATATTTAAAAATATTTCAATCCTTTGCTTTCCAGACCAGAAATGTAACAGAAATGTCTATAGAAAAGGTAGTAGTAAAAAAAGGTAGTATGTAAATTTGAGCTGTTCAGAATGGCAGTCACTAGTAAAAAATGGCAGCAGAGTACTTGAGCTGTAGCTACTTAAGATTAAAATTTTCGATTTTTATTTACTTTTAATTTAAATATCTATGTGAGGGGCTGGAGAGAGGGCTCAGTTAAGAGCACTGGCTGCTCTTGCAGTGTTCAGTTCCCAGCACCCACATGGTGGCTAACAACCAACTATAACTCCAGTTCCAGGGGATCCAACGCCCTCTTCTGACCTCTATGGGCACTGCATGTATGGGTGGCACTTACATCCATAAAGGAAAAAATTTGTAACACATAAATTAAAAAAAAAAAAAAAAGCATGGTGGTGCATGCCTTTAATCCCAGCACTTGGGAGGCAGAGGCAGGCAGATCTCTGAGTTCCATGTCAGCTGGGGCTACAGGGAGACTCTGTCTCAAAAAACAAAAAAGTAAAAACCAAAAATCTGGCACTTTTTGGAGTCTTATGAAAAATCTTCAGGTTTTTTAAATTTAAAAACTGCAAATGCATACTTACCCATTCAATTAGGTCATAAAGACTGACAGTATAATATCAAATGCTGTTACCATCTACCTTTTAGAAGATTAAAATGACTCCCAAATCTCACAACCAGATTATCAATGATATCCTCCTTCTAAATAGTCCCTTGCCATCTCTCACCTGGCTTCACGAAAGCTGCACTTAGGTACTTCCTCTTCACCAACTGCTTGATTTAATAGGTGCCTATAAAATCCACTGAGATCTTTCTGCTTGGTTACATCCAAACACGCTAAGAGGGAAAGCAAAACAAAAGGGAAGATAATTCAGTATTCAGCAAGGCACAATGCAGGTTCATTTTACATATGTACAGTACAGATCATTTAGCTGTATAAACCATTCTCTAGATGAGGAGTTAATAAACTATATCCTGCAGACCAAATTTGACCTGTTGACTACTCATATGTATATTTATTATCCATGGTTGCTTTTGTACCACAGGGCAAAATCGAGCAGTGATCACAAGTATAAAAAGTACAGCTGAGGATGTTGCTCAATGGTAGATTGTTTAGCATGTACAAGGCCCTGGGTTAAATTCACAATACCATAAAAAAGAAATACAAAAAGGCTAAAATATTTACCACCTGGCCCTTCACAGCAAGTTTGCTCCTTGTGCTGTATATGAAAACATGCTTAAATGTAATTTTTCAATGTTGTTTAATTAGTGCATGTGGAGGTCAGCGGACAACTTGTGGGATTTGGCTCTCCCCTTCCTCCATGTAGGTCCCACGGATCAAACTCAAGTCATCAGGCTTGGCAGCAAGTGCCTTTACCTGTTAAGCTACCTCACTGGCCCCAATACACTCTTACAGATTTAGTTTTCCTTCACTTAAAGTTGAAGAACATTTGCCAACTAAATTATTCATAAGTATATATTATATCAGATCTTGAGAAACTGACCAAGAATAGAGAGCATTCAAGTAAATCCCTAAGATATTCTTTAGCCCCTGAACATCTTTATTCTTCTTCCTACTAATGATATTCTAACTGTCCAGTGGATGTTTCTAGAGTGTATGACTCATTTCTCATCCTAGAATACATACTTAGGGTTTAAAGTCATGCTTGTTTCTGACAAATGGAATGTTATAACATATTTTTACAATTGGAATCATATTCTAAGACAATGGTTTGCAATGATTATAGCTTAAAGTTATAAAATAAGAACTAAATGAAAAGCCCAACAGAAATAATATTCAGCAGAATTCGGCTGTCTTTGGTTAATGCTGACTCTACTACATAACGACACATAACATCTTGAATTCACATATATAAGTTATAGTCACAATACTACAACTCCAAGTCCAGTGGCAGCATGTAGCTGGCTGCAGAGCAGCCCCCCTCTCCCACCTTCTAGGGCAGCAGCCTTCTTTTCTCTTTCTTCCTCTTCAGCTCTCTCCTGAAGCTTCTTTTTATAAGCAGATGTCACAAATGCCTCTTTATCATCAAATTCTCCTTTTTCCATTTCTCGTTCTCTCTGTATTTTCTTTTCCATTCTTTTTTCCTGTTCCTTTTTTCTGATCTCAACTGCTTTTAGTAAGTTGTGAATATATTTGGGCTAGGGAAAAATAAAGTTATTTAAGAGTAAAAAATGATACTCATTAAGATAGAAATAGCTAATCTAAATAGTTTGTCTTCTTTTCAGAACTAAAAATAAATTTATTAGCAAGATTAATACTGAAACTGTTTTCACTAAAACTTTAGGGTAGCAGCAGGCGTAGCAGCACACACCTGTAATCCACGGGAGACTGAGGCAGGAGAATCACAGCAAGTTCAAGGCCACCTCAGTACAATACTGAGTTCAAGGCCAGCAAGAGCTATAAAAAACCTGTCTTAACAACTCCCCGAGCCCCAAAGAGAAAAACTTTCCTAGTATTTTACTCACCCTACTACTATTCTTTTTCCTTTCTTTTTTTGGGGGTAAAGAGGCATGCTATGTAGCTCAGGCTGGCCTTGAACTCATAGCAATATTCTTGCCTCAGCTTCCTGAGTACCAGGATTACTTGTGAGCCACCATGCTCCTAACTGGTATTATTTTTTATTTGTTTTTGTTTTTTTGAAATAGGGTCTCATATAGTCCAGGTTGGCCTTAAACTTGCTATGTAGCCAAGGATGGCTCTGAAATGATCCTCCCGTCTCAGTCTCCCAATGATTTATGTCACTATGCCTGACTCTAATTGTTTTTGGTTTTTTTTTGAGACAGGGTTTCCCTGTAGCCCCAGCTGTCCTAGAACTCACTATGTAGACCAGGCTGAACTCACAGAAATCCACCTGCCTCTGCCTCCAGTGCTGGGATTAAAGGTGTGTGCCATCACACCCGGTGGTCTGATTGGTATTCTTTTTTATTTATTTTTAAAAATATTTTATTATTATTTTTATTTTATGTATTGCCTGCGTGTAGGCAAGCGCATCCATGTCGTGCAATGCCCACGGAAGACAGAAGAGGCCATTGGATCCCCTGGAACTGGAGCTACAGACAGCCGTTAGCTGCCATGTGGGTGCTGGGACTTGAACCCAGGTCTTCTGCAAGAACAACCAGTGTTCTTAACTGCTGAGCCATCTCTCCAGCCCTCTAATTGGTATTCTTTTTTTTTTTTTTTTTAATTTTAGGGACTGTGTTCACTGCTGCTTTAGAATTTATTTTTATTTATTTATTTTTTTGTCTTCTTGAGACAGGGTCTCCCTGTAGCCCCAGCTGTCTTAGAACTCACTATGTAGACCAGGCTGGCCTTGAACTCACAGAGATCCATCTACCTGCCTCTGCCTCCCAAGGTGTGCACCACCACGCCCAGCTTACTAATTGGTATTTTAATTCAACAAATGAATGAATCAAAAAACAGGCCAGAAGTAGTACAAATCTGGTACATACAATTGCTACAGGAATTTTTCAAAAAATTACTTGCAAAGGTTTTAAGGCAACCCCCCCCCAATTATTGAATAATTCACTTGGATCCTGTTAAAACCTGGAATCTAAAAATAAAATCTATAATACAGAACTAAGAACTTATCACTAAGAATTTAGTAAATTTTTACTAAAATTATTCTTAAAATAAGAAAAGAAATTCTTGTCAAGATCAAAGAAAGTTGTATTCCAGCTACTAACCTTTCGATCTTTGGTTCCCAAAAGCAGTGTGGGATTACTTTCTTCCTTTTTTTTCTGCATTTCATCATAAATACTGTCATACTCATACACAGTGGAATCTTCTGCAAGAGCTTTCTGAATTTCCAGTTTGGTCTTTAAAAAAAAAAGTAACTATGTTTCAAAAATACAAGCAGCCAACAGATACTACCAAAAGTCCATGTATTTTTTTTTTTTTAAATAAAGGTTCATGAATTGGAAATATATTCTAAAAACTATGCCAATCACATTTCAGACAGGAAATATGAATGTGAAGTCTACAGCTAGAGTACCTGTGCTTGCTTCCTGGCTCCATACTTACCACTTGGCAAGCTTGTCTAAATTGTTCTGTGCTTTAATTCTCCTCACCTAAAGGAATGATGACACTCTATCTTCTAAACTGTGATGAACTGAATAAACTTAAAACTCTAAAGTAAGAGTCTGAGAGGGTATAGGTGTTTAACAAACATTAATTATGATCATTATTCACTTATATATAATTACCCACATTAAAGGTTCAGAAAGAGTTCTGGGGCTACAGGGAGACCCTGTCTCAAAAAGACAGGAAAAAAAAAAAAAGTTCAAAAAAGTCAAAGATACAGCTGAGAAATATGTAACGCTGGTTTTGAGATGTTTATATAGTAAAGTAACTTTCATATTATATTTCATTAGTTAGATTTCTAAATAAAACTTTATTTTTCAAATGTATGATCACAGGAATTAATTAATAAAAGTTCCTAGTATTGAAAAATGTTCTACGCACAGCATTCAAGTGGGAGCCATTTTAAAATTAGGGTTTTTTGGTTTTTTTAAAAAAAAATTTTTGGGCCGGGCATGGTGGCGCACCCCTTTAATCCCAGCACTTGGGAGGCAGAAGCAGGCGGATCTCTGTGAATTCAAGGCCAGCCTGGTCTACATAGTGAGTTCCAGGATAGCTGGAGCTACAGGGAGACCCTGTCTCAAAAAGACAAAAAAAAAAATTTTTTTTAATGTTTTATTATTTTTATATTATGTGTATGAGTGTTATGCCTGCATGTAGGTAAGTGTACCCATGTTTTAAGAGTGGTCTTTTTTAAGTGAAAGGGTAAGATTATAATCATTCAAAAGAATCTACCCGATATTTTCAGGTTTCTTTGCAGTAGCAGGGATTGAACCTAGGACCTTACACATGCTAAGTAAACACACTACCATGGAGTTACATTGCATCCCCAGTCCGTCTTAGGTTTCTACACTAAGCCTTTAAAATCTAGAATAATGCACATGCTAAATGAAAAACTTTTCTTTGTAATGCTGTTAAAAATACCAAGAATTCTGTCCTGTACCTCTCAGTATTTAGAAAACCAATGATTTTCATGCCTAGATAGTGAACTGGCACTGCTGTTCCCTCCCCCAAAACAGCTGAAGAATCCAAATAGGTTAAAATGGTATTTAGAAATAATATACAGCCATCACTATAAACTACAATAACAAACAGCTAGAAGTGGTGGAACATATAATCTCAGCACTCAGGAAGTGGAGGCAAGAGGATCAGGAGTCTAAGATGACCAGGCCAGGCTACACAGTTTGAGGTCAGCCTGGACTACATACATGAGACCCTGGTCTCAAAAAAGAGGGCAAGGGAAAAAGGTAGACTGAAGGCTTTTAAAAAAGTTAACATATAATCCGGGCATGGTGGCGCACGCCTATAGTCCCAGCACTTGCGAGGCAGAGGCAGGCAGATCTCTGTGAGTTCAAGGCCAGCCTGGTCTACATAGTGAGTTCCAGGACGGCTGGAGACCCTGTCTCAAAAAGACCAAAAACATTAAATGCTAACATTGTTTTCATGTGAAAAAAAAGTTAAGATATGCCTTTGTATGTATGATAAGGAGAGCCAAGGGGTATACTTAAGCAGTATCATTAACTTGTATCTCAAAATATATAAAGCAAAAACTCAACAGATAACTAATCTACAACCATACCCAGAGATTTTAGTATATGTCTTCCAGCAATAAGGCAAAAAAAAAAAAAAATCAGCATAAATGTATACTTGACCCAGAGGGTTCATATAGAACATGCACAGAGAATATTTACAAAAATTTACCACACACTGAACCATGAAGTAAATGTCAGCACATGCCTTTTAAAGGCATGGTGTAACAGTGCAAGGTCTTGGAACACAAAACAATTATGCTAGAAATCAGTAGCATGTGGGGTATGCCTCAGTGGCAGAGAGCTTGTCCAGCATATGTAAGGCCCTGAGTTTGACCCCTAGTACTGTAACAAAAAATAAAATAATTACAGGGTCAAATGAGATCACAATGGAAATTACAAAATATTTTATAGAGAATAACAAAAATACTGTCTATGAAAATACAGGGGGGTGCTTTGAGGTAACTATATGCTTTAATGACATAGATCAGACAAGGGAACCAACTACAAAACATACATAGCTATGTTATGCATTAAAGAAGGGTCTCAAGAGATGGCTCAGAGGTGAAGAGCACATACTGCTCTTGTAGAGGACCCAAGTTTGGTTTCCAACACCCACATCTGGTGGTTCACAACTGCCTGTAACTATAGCTCCAGGGGGATCCAAAGCCTCTGGCCTCCATGGACACCAGCACTCAAGTGCATATATACACACACCCCTAAAAAGCATAGTAATGAAAGAAACAGCCAGGCGTGGTGGTTTACACCTTTAATCTCAGTACTCAAGAGGCAGAGGCAGGTGAATCAAAGCCAGTCTGGTTTACATAGAAGTACAACAGCAGAAACAAAGGCTGCCTCAACAAGGTAGAAGGAGAGAACCAACTCCCTAAAAGTTGTCCTCTGACTTCCACACACATGCTAACAGACACACATGTGCGCACGCACACACACACGCACACACACACGCGTATGCATGTACATACATATAAAATAAGTAAAAAGAGCCAGGCATAGTGGCACACACCTTTAATCCCAGCACTTGGGAGGCAGAGGCAGGTGGATCTCTGTGAGTTCCAGGCCAGCTGGGGCTACAGCGAGACCCTGTCTCAAAAACACCAAAAAACAAACAAACAAACAAAGTAAAAATAAAGTAGAAATAAACTTACAAAGTACATATATAGTATTAGCTCATTTTATGAGTTAATAAATGTTACTTTTAATCGAGATACACTTAATGAAATGGGTAAAAAGACAATAATGTCCTCATCAGCTCTGTGTAGTTTAGTTCTATATAAAACAAGGAGAAAGAAATAGTTTGACTATTAAAGTATCGAATTCCTAATTATTGTTTTAACATTTAGTAAATCCAATCAAACTAGCACTCTTCATGATAAAAGTTACTTTGGGGACTAGAGAGATGGTTCTGTGGTTAAGAGCAATTTATGCTCTTCCAGAGGACCAGAGTTCAAGTCTCAGCACCCACATCGGGTGGCTTACAACTGCCTATTAACTCCAGTTCCTAGGGGATCCAACATTACTAGTTTCCATGGGCATCTGCATTCATGTGCACTTACTCACATACCCACATACATGTATCTGTGTAATTAAAAATAAAAAAAGTAAATTAAAAACATTTTTAGGGCTGGAGAGATGGCTCAATGGTTAAGAGCACTGGCTGCTCATGAAGAGGATCTGGGTTCAGTTCCTAGCACCCATTTGGTGGCTAACCCATCCGTAACTCCAGTTCCAGGGTATCCAACCTCCTCTTTTGGCCTTTGTGGGCATTGCACACATGAGTACATTTACATACATGCAGGCAAAACACTCGTACACATACAACAAAAATAATTTTGTTTTAAAGTTAGTTTGGGATTAAAGCAGAAGACAAAAAGTCAAGCACGTGGGAAACAAAGCAGAAGGCAGTCCAGGAAGGAAGGGCAAGGCAGGCGAGGCCGTGCAGGAGGCAGAGCAGCACTCTCAATTAGGCTCTCCATCAACAAAATCTGATACGCTAATATAAAATTCAAAATTAGAAAATGTTCAGATCTAGCTGTGTCATGAAAGGGGGTGACTGATACTTTCTTATTTAGAACCATGGGCAAATTTTTGAGAATTTTAAAAGGTAATGAATATATGTCAAAAGTGCTTAGAAGAAGCTGGGCATGGTGGCACACGCCTTTAATACCAGCCCTTGGGAGGCAGAGGCAGGCGGATCTCTTTAAGTTCAAGGCCAGGCTGGTCTACATACCAAGTTCCAGGCCAGCTGGAGCTAAAGACACACGCTGTCTCAAAAAAGACTGAAAAAAAAAAAAAAAAAGTGCTTAGAAGGAGCACTATTAAGGTATAGTAGTCTCCTAAAAATTATATGATACTCCCCTCTTTTTTGGTAGACAAAGTCTAAATAATTATACAATTGTGAAATCACTTTGGTTGCAATTGAGTTTTTTTCTTCTGACAAGTTCTGAGTAGAATTTAATAAAAATAAATGACAATAAGCCAAACAATCTACTGTCAAAACTACGGAGTCACCTGAAAGCAAAGCTGATTTGATCTATACCCAGTAATAAAGAGCTAATTATATTTTCCTTTAAAACTTATAAAGAAAATCTGCAATCTATATAAATCAAGAAAAAACTTATACATCTTAAGAAAACAAGGATCAGCCAGGTGTGGTGGTACACACCTTTAATCCTAGCACTTGGGAGGCAGAGGCAGGCAGATCTCTGTGAGTTCAAGGTCAGCCTGGTCTACATAGTGAGTTCCTGGCCAGCTGGGGCTACAGGGAGACCCTGCCTCAAAAGAGACCAAAAAGAACACAAGGATCAGAATTAAATTATTTCACTATATATACTTATTGTTTTATTCTCTGTATTAGAAAACAAAACTGATAAAGAAAGATGACCCAAAATACTTTACTAAATGCATTTATTTCATTTCTCTCCCTACCTGTTTCATGGCCTGCTTCTTGGCAGCTTCCCTCTGAAGACTTTCACTCACGGAGGTCTATAAAACAGAAAAATGTCATTGTTTAACCAATTAAAAAATTTTTTTTTCAGTATTCTAGTTGGCAACTGGTTTCTCACAGTTAAAAGTAGAAAGGTAATTTTTTTTTTTTGAGATAAGGTCTTACTATGTAACCCTGGGTCCTGGAACTCAGAGATTTACCTGCTTCTGCCTCTCCTTAGCCCAGCAAAAGATAGTATTATATTAAACTAGTATCAGGATCTTGCCCTTAAATTTTAAGTGACAAATTGACAAATGAATTACCATTGCAATTAACCAGAACAGGCTGTAAGGTATACAAAAAGAAAAAAAAGTACAGAAAAAAATTAAGATGACATAGGCTTTTAGTTCTAATTTTACCACTAAGTTATTCACCTTTATGGGTTTCAATTTGCTTTGTGTGCACATGTGTATGTGGGGGGGGGGAACAAGTGTGTGCATGTGTGTTAAATGAAGAAGACTGTACAAGATATATCTGATTAGACAAAAATGGTATCAATTTCAGAAATAAAGAGCATTTTAATATTCATTATTGATTATAATATATCAAGCTCTTGGTTTAGGTATAAGGCTTATAGCCATCAAGAATTAATCTGTGGCTCTATGTTCTAAAAAAGCTTTCTAAACCAGACAAGCATTTTTCTAGGTCCTAAGGACAAAGGAAAAGCAAAAAAATCTCTGTTCTTGAGAGATGAATGGTCTGAAGGGGAAGGCAAATAAAGAAGCAATAAGCATAAATGTGATAAGCACTATAAGGCATATAAACGATGGGCTGTAGGAGCCCAGAGCAAAGAAAGCGATGAGAAATGAAAACGGTCTCTCCATACTGGATGTGGTGCCATGTGCCTGTAGCCCAGCACCCAGCAGGAGGACTGTGAGTGAAAGGTCAGCCTAGACTATAAAGTAGACCCTATTTCAAAACAAATAAATTTTTTCAAATTAAAAAAAAAAAAAAGAGGAAGAGGGGAGAGAGTGGGAAAGAGGGGGAAAGGGAGAGGAAGGGAGAGACAAAAAAGGGGGGAGGGAGGGAGGGAGGGAGGGAGGGAGCCTTCCTAAGAAAGAGAATGGCATCAGATCTAAATAAAAAGAGCAAAAATTTTAAATAATTCAAAAAGAAGATAGGAAGCACTAACTGTAATTGTGGGAGCAAAAGACTTAAAGCTGAGAAATGCAGTCATAACATATTTATGGATAAATACTTCCTTAAAAGCATCATGAGGAAAGACAAGGCAAAACCAGTATGAGATACCACTTGACATCCTTCAGGATGGCTGTTACAAAAAAGCCAAAAGTTAATGAATGTAGCCTAGGATGTGGAGAAGGGAGCTCCTGTACCCTGCTAGTGGGAATGTAAACTGGAACTTCAGGACATTCCTGAAGAAATTAAGAGCAGAAATACCAGGAAAATATAAACACAGCACATAGAAAAGAAATCAAATTGACACTGTTCACATATGACATGATCTCATGTGTAAGAAACACCCAAAACTTCAACAAGAAACTATTATAATAAATTCAGCAGAGATGCAAGCCAGTCGTGGTGGTGGCACATGTCTTTAATGCCAGCACTTGGGGAGCAGAGGCAGGCAGATCTCTGTGAATTTGGGGCCAGCCTGGTCTCCATAGTGAATTCAGGAATCCAGGCCAGCTGGGGCTACAGGGAGACCCTGTCTCAAAAATAAAGCAGAGTTACAAAAGACATGTGTAACAACCAGTACTGTTATTATACATCAATAGTGAATTATCTGAAAAGGAAATCAAGTAAACAATTCCTCTTACATTTAATGGCTACAAACAAAATACAATTCAGATTAGGAATAAATAATCAAAAAATTTCTTCAACAAAAAGTACAAATCATTGATGAAAGAAATTGAAAAGGGGGTGGTGAGATGGCTCAGTGGATAAAGGCTTGCTGCCAAGCCTACAACCCATGTGGTAGAAAGAATGAACAGACTCCCACAAATTGTCCTCTTATCTCCACTTTTAAAAAAGAAATGGAAAAGAATACACATACAAAATGGACATCTGAATTTCATGAACTTGAAGAATCAATACTGTTAAAATGTCCACACTACCCAAGAATTTACCCATCGAATGCAATCTCTATCAATGTATCAATGACATTCTTTTCAGAACTAGGAGGAAAAAAAATTCAAAGTTTGTCTGGAATCACAGAGAGCCAGAGGGGGAGTGGGAGGGGGAAGGGGAAGGAGAAAGAAATAGTCAAGGCGATCTTTAGTAAAAAGGATCCAAGCTGGAACATTTACACCATATGACTTCAAGACTACTACTAAGTCACAGCAGTCAGTAATCAGAACAGTATAGTACTGACATTAAAACAAACAGAAAACAGAACTTAACCCCTGTATCTATAGAGAACTGATTTTCAATAATAATGTTAAGAATATTTATTGGAGAAAAGGGCAATCTCTTCAATAAATGATGTGGAAATTGGATACCCACATGCTAAATAATGAACACTAGGCCTCTATTTCTTGCCATACAAAATATAATTTAAACTGTATTAAAGACTCAACTGTCAGATCTGAAAGTATGAAAACTAGTAGAAAAAACAAGTGAAATATTTTAGGTTTGTTAAGGGCTTTTAGTATAAGATCACCAACTGCCTAAGACCAGTTCACAGTAAATCTTAAGAAAATACTCATATTTTTGTATAAGCATAGATCATCATTAACTTTAAATTCAGGAATATAAAAATTACACTCTGTAAGAGCCTTTACATTAAAACAAAGATTTTCTAAACAGGTTCAAATATAAGCATCTGAATTATCCTAAAAGAGCAAAACAAATACAAACCATTCACATACTTTTTCTGCCAAAAATCTCAGGGGAATAGGTTTATAAAAACCTGAAAATTTCTTGCAAATGTTTTAATTCAGCCAATATTTAGAAAGAAACCTACCTTATTTAAGTGCTATCAACTTTAATTTCAAATAATAAATTAACAGAAAAAGAGGAAAATGCCCCACCTATAGGTACTCATCCCACACAATTTTAAGGATTAAAGACTGAAGATGTGGTCAAGTATAGAGATCATAAATGGCAGAATTCAGAAAAACAGTTCAACTGGATTCTCTTTAGTCTCTATTCTATGAGAATTAAATCTTAACCAATTCAATGTTTAAAATACTGAATTGCAGTCAGATTTGGCCTAAAAAGGAGACTTCAAAGGAAAACCTTTACTGTTACCTCATACACATGAGGGTGTGCCTTTCTAATTTATTTAACTGAACTACCTCCTAAGCTGTGATAATTACTACACAAGACACAGTTCTGCAAGTTACTAGAACTTCTTCACCAAAAGGCAGTATAGTGGACTAAAAAAGTTAGATACAGGAGGGGCAAAGAATATACAAGCCTGAGAACACCAAGAAGCACCTCTCTCACCATTTTGTGTGGTTGTCAGGTCACAGGATCTGTATTTGAGTGTGAACTTTATGGTGTAGCTGTAAATGTGGGGCGCCCACTCTTCTGTAAATAAACCCCTACCCTATGCGCTGATAAAAAAAAATTTTTTTTTAAAGTTAGATACTAGGAGCTGGAGAGATAGCTCAGTGGTTAAGAACACTGTTTTTGCAGAAGACCCGGGTTTGAATCCCACCACCCACATGGCAGCTAACAACTGTCCATAACTCCAGTTCCAGGGGATCTGACAGCCTCTTCTGTCCTCACGGGCACTGCATGACATGAGTGCACTTACCTACATGCAGGCAATACATGCATAGACATAAAATAAAATATTTTTTTAAAGTTACTCGGCCACTATATTAATTTTCAATTATAATCTTTAGTTGAATCAAATTTTTTAGTTTTTATAGAAATTAATCTGCTGTTCTGCACTTAGAAAGGTCCAACAGGAAAAGGGCATTATATGGGCTTTTTTTTTCTGAAATAAGAGTTTACCTACCTGCTTACCTAAAATAGTTTGTAGCTAAGGAAAAGTAGTTTCTGTTGTGCTGAGAACTTAAGAAATGAGAACTTCTTGTTCTTTATCCTTTTTGTAACTTACAAACAGGCCACTTGTTCTAGCTTCTTTCACCATTGCTGTGACAAAACACTCTGACACCACCAACTTGGGGAGGAAAGGGTTTATTTGTCTTACATCTCCTGGATCATAGCTCATCAGGGAGTCCAAGGTAGGAACTCAGGGCAGGAACCTGGAGGCAGGAGCTGGAGCACAGGCCATGGAGGAACACTGCTTTCTCACTTGCTCTCCTGGCCCCTGCTCAGCCTGCCCAGGCCCACCTGCCCAGGGGTGGCACCACCCACAGTGGGCTGGACCTCCCGCATCACTCAACAATCAAGAAGATGCCCCACAGACATGGCCACAGGCCATTCCTATGGAGGCAATTCCCTAATTGAGGCTTCCTCAACCCAGGTGTGTCAAGTTGACACTAAAGCTATCCAGCACGCCATTTATTAAAGGTCCTATAACTCAGCAATCTCTTTTATGGGCTTTGTTTATATTTACACTCATTTATAAATATAAAGATGGTTTAAGAGTTGTGAAGAATATGTGAAGCCAGGCATGGTGGCACATGCCTTTAGTCCCAGCACTCAGGAGGCAGAGGCAGGCAGATCTCTGTGAGTTCAAGGCCAGCCTGGTCTACAAAGGGCAGCTGGGGTTACAGGGGGACCCTGTTTCAAAAAAAACCAAAAAAAAAAAAAAAAAGAGTATGTGAAATCTTTACTATATGGGCTCAGACCAAAAACAAACTCTATGACGGAAAAAAAGGCATGGATATGAACAGAAAATTTAGAAAGGAGAAATTACAAATGACTAGTAATTATATGAAAAAAATGGTGAATTTTGCAAATACTTAAGAGGTAAAGGTAAAAATATTAATGTTTAGCACCTATCAAATAGCTAAAGATTTAAAAAATACTACCAAATACTGGCAATGTATACTAGTAAGCAAATACATTCTTATGAAGATGTGATGGAGAAAATGATAGAAAGAGAACATTCTAGTCACAG